TGTGTGTGTGTGTGTGTGTGTGTGTGTGTGTGTGTGTGTGTGTGACTGGGAGCACGTGGGTCCCGGTACATTTAGACAGACAACACCTTTGTAAACCTGAGGTGTAATTGTGCTTTTGCTGCCGCTGTGTCAACATCATTTTGGGCTGGACCAAATCAAGTTATGAGACTTAAAGAAATCCTATTTTATGGAAATGAAATCTGAAGATGCCTGGAGAATGAACATCTTAACTAGATTGACTAATACCAATTAATGCATTTTACTTATGTGTGCACTTTATTGCCAGCTCAGCAGGGATGAAAGCTAATGGTGCCAGCTTTTGTGCTGCTCTAAGACATTTCTCAAGCAGGCACACAAGGCTTTAATGGTAAACTGTTTTGAGTTCTTAACACTGTGATTGTGTTCTCGTTCCACTCAAGTTTCTTGCAGCAGTGACTCCTGTGGCAATCTAATGAAATGATCTCTTGTTATGCTGTGTTAGCTATTCCCCGTGACACAGCAGGAAGTTACAACCTGTATGTGTTTGTACTGGAGGTGGTGATAAGTTGTTGAGCAAGATGCACTTGCAAGTGATAGAATATGACTTTCTGATATTAACTGGAAGATGGCACCCTAGGCAAAAAATGTTTTGCTTTCCTATATGGCATGTTTTTCCATATATGTATGTATATGTGTATATATATATATATATATACTCACATACATTCTTGCTAAATAAGAATTATTGTGAATTAATTCTCAAAAAGGATAGAAAGATGTTATGTTTAAAAAAAATAAAAAAAACTTTAAAAGCAGTCCATTGTCATTTAAGCAAAGTAAAAAAATTCCTTATAGTCAAATTGTAAAAGAAAAGACTCATCCTTTGTATAACTTCCCTGACTTTAGAATAGGTATGTGAAAGACTTATTTGGCTGGGAGACAGCTATGTAGCCTGCCCATTCATCATAAATATATAAATAAACATACTGGAATTGGGCAAGATTTTAAAATTAATTCAGTTAAGTATAATTTCTGTCACTGCACATGCAGAAATCTAGGAACTACCCATCACAGAAAAAAAAAGGGGGGGAGGTTTTATTTGACTCTGAAAAGCAAAGCAACTTATATGTTGTTGAAGCTGCATTTGTTGAAGGTTTTGACCTGCATTTTCTGAGATTTCTGTGGAAAAACAAGTGGAGAAAACATGAAGCATGTTGTCCATCTAACATTCCAAAACTGATATAAAACACTGCTGTCTTTGCTGAGGTCATAGAGTTTAGAAGAGCAAGGACAGAATGACAGCTCCAGAATTTTGTCAAAAGTGGTGGTAAAAACATCTCTTAACAACTAGGCATGAAAGGGCCAATGGTAAGATCCACTTCACAAGCATTTTTATTAAGCTGTTGAATGTGCTTTCCCCTACTACAGTGATACTCAGTATTCTGTCTGTGAAGAGTATTCCTGATTTAATAGCAAGCTGTATTGAAAGAATTTCTTCAAGACATTTACTTCCTGGTACAGTCTATTGAGGGATGTTGGTAACTTTACTTGCACCAATGTACTCTGAGAAACCTAAGAATGTTCTACTCCTCTTACAGAAATCCAAAAAGTGTAGTGACAAATGATCATGTAAGATACTCTGCTCAAGTTTCTGCTTGCAATGTTCCATCAGGGAATGTTTCTAAACATTTGCATAGTGTGCCCCTTGCACAAATGCCATGTCAAAGTGTAAAATAATCTGAAGAGCAATAAAAAGATTTTGAGAGGAGTCTGAAGTGCAAGTGGCTCCTCATTTCTAATAAATGGATTGAATGGTAATAAAATGGATTGAAAACACACTTTGGTCATCGCAGTAAGTTAGGTAAGAGGACATTCTTGCATTGTTATAACATGTTTTGCAAAATATACAGAGGATTATACACTTTTATTCAAGGAAAATATTTTCCATCAAATTGTAGTTAAATCCTGGATACTGTCTTATACCTAAAAGTTGTTTGAAATGCATAGTACATCTTCATAATAAAATTGCATTGTCACAGATATAATTGTTATTCATAACAAGTAGTTTCACAAACAGATTCCATTCCTTTAAGTATTGAGTCTCAGTCAGGCCAATTATGACTAAATTACTGCGTGTTCTCTGCTGTATCAACTAATTAAAGGGTAATTAATAAAATGATAATTTCATTCCGTGGCAATGTCTACATCTGGTTGTCATAGCAGAGATTGTTTGACATATGGTTAAATGGTCAGATACCACATTGTATGAATGCAGCATTTGCACAGAATACCTGGCAAGCCAGAGGAATTTTAACCCTTAAGACATGAATTTCAAGAATCTGTGTCAATGTGTTATTAGACTGGTTTGCTTATTCTCTCCTCCTTCTTCTTACTCCTTTAAGAAAATTTGGTTCTCAGAGTTAATTTAAGTAACTCTCTTGGGATACTGGAAGAGTGGGTAGATGACTTGAGATATTAGATTGGAAATGAAAGATAAAATAGTACTGACTTGTCTATGGGAAATAAAATAGGTGGTTCTAAATTAACTTCTGAGAAGAGACACTCCATTGGTTCTTGTATTACTGGAAGCTTCCCCTTCAAGAAAAATCAGGCTGAAATTAGCATGGAGACAAAATTATCTTTTTTTTTCCTAGATACAGTCGCATGCCAGGAGTAAGACTGAGATTGTGGTCACAACAGCATGTGAAAATCTGCATTGCAGCCTTTCCTCACTGTACATGTCACATGTAGATAAAACAAAACTTATCTCCTCAAGGACAGTAACCATAGAATTCACACATGCTAAAGAAATGAAACAATATTGTATAAAGTCAACAGATTATATGAATAAACAATTCTCCTGTAGGTAGCTGATGTACAAAATAACATGGACATACTCTGAAGTATCGTGGTTGAAATTTT